CGTTTTCTACAAAGTCCCTCCTTCCGACAAGCGCAGTCTGCTCTGATTGGCCAGCTGACCCAGTGCATTGTGATTGGCCGAACACCGCCCCTTACCATAATCGCGAGCTTTAGCTTTCAAAATGAATGTAAAGACAGAGCCCGAAAGGGGAACAGAGTCCTGTGACAGACACAGTGATGAAGCTGGTCTCTCTCGCTCTCTCTCTCACACACACACACACACGATGCGCAAAACTCCGCATTTGAACAGTCAATAGCAAATACTTAAACTAATAACAAAACAGTAGTTGATTCAGAAGCGCCAGATTGTCATAGCAAAGTCAGAATTACCTCCTCTCCTAGGTTCACGAAACGGTCGTCCATAAAATGCATTGCTGTTCTGTTGTAAGTAATCTTAAAGATTCCTTAATGCATCTACTTCCGGAAGGCCAAATAAAGTGCTTTTGTTTTCGCCTAGAAACACACAGCGTCTCCCTGACATGCGACCAATTCTAACATGCATATTGCTAACATATTGGCTGTTTATTAGTATTCATAAAGCACATATTAATGCCTTATTCTGCATGAGTTAGGAGTTACTGTATATTTTGTATGAATTAGGAAATTATTGAGGCAAAAATCATAGTTAGTTAATAGTGAGAATGGGACCTTTAAAATAAAGTGTGACCAATTGTGACCCTGGACCACAAAACCAGTAATAAGGGTACATTTTTCAAATTGAAATCTGAATAAATAAGCTTTCCATTGATGTATGCTTTGTTTGGATAGGACAATATTTGGCCGAGATACAACTATTTGAAAATCTGGAATCTGAGGGTGCAAAAAAATCTAAATATTGAGAAAATCACCTTTAAAGTTGTCCAAATGAAGTTCTTAGCAATGCATATTACTAATCAAAAATTAAGTTTTAATATATTTACAGTAGGAAATGTACAAAATATCTTCATGGAACACGATCTTTACTTGATATCCTAATGATTTTTGGCAAAAAAAAGAAAAGAAAAATCAACAATTTTGACCCATACAATGTATTTTTGGCAATTGCTACACATATACCCCTGCGACTTAAGACTGGTTTTGTGGTCCAGGGTCACAATTATATATAAATATATACATATATAAATATTTATTCTGTGTTGTAAATTGGCAACTTGTATATCGTCTAAATTTCTGAATGTCCCATGCGTAAATACGGCTCAGTCATTCATGTGCTCAAAACTCATAATTACGATATTTCCAACTCCACTTCAATGGCACATGAGGCCCAAAGGCTGCAAAAATTCAGCCAATCAGATTAGAGCTAGCCCTATTGCTAGACTCAATCCCACATTTCCCACATCAGCACCAGAGCTCAATGTCTCACATACTGTATGCTAACCCCCAGGCCACAGTTCTGACAACACCTGCTGACTTAAAAATGTTAATGTGTTTTGGTGAGTAAATTGCTTCGAGCTGAGAGCAAATGAAGATGTTTGAAGACGTTCCCGTGTTGTTACAGCCAGTTTGTTAGGTGTAATCAATGAGAGAGGATAGGCGTGAGGAGAAGGCAGAATGACTGGCAAGGCCCTGACTGCACTGGCCAGGTGCAGAGTGAGTAGGGACCTCCCTGTTAACACATGGCACACCACTCAGCCAGCGAGATTAATGGGTCTGACTGCATGGCAGCGGAGCGGCCAGGGATCAGGGAGTGTAATTGCGCTGGGGCAAGTATGGACATGGACAGCTGCGCATAGCAGGAGTCAATCACACCTCGTCATCCCTGCCATACCTCCAGTTGTTCACCCTAGGTAAGAGTATCCCAGTCCGAGCCGTGATAGGATACCAAGATGAGGAGTCTAGGTGAGCGAAAAGGTGTTTTAACTTCTATCACAAAAGCAATTCCATGTAATAAAAGTTCTATTTTGGTTAAATGATTGCAGAAGCACTTTTGCGGGTGCAGGTCGTGTGTTAAGACCTTGAGAGAATCTGTTTCTGCCAGGTATCAGAAACTTCAGCAAAAGCTATGTTTTTATATTAGACCACTGCACATCAGTGTACAGTAAAGGGAAACACTGTATACAAAAGTTTATTAATATTTACGCGGATCCCATGTGCAATAATTCGCTTTTGCGTACACGAAACCACAATCTATATTTAATGTACAACGTCTTGGCATACGAAATGAACATCTCATTAAAGATATGAGAGACATTGACAATGAATATCTCATATCTATAATGATAAAATTGTATTTCTGCCTCTCCCAAGCAAATTTAACACCCTGCTCATAACAATCTGCCTCTTGCTCTGCATAAACTGTTTTGACACCCACATGCTCGTATAATTTTACTGAAGTCCTTGTTCCAGCGACAGATGTTTAAGACAATGTAAATTCATTGGTGACATTGAGATGGTACTTTGCTATTCAAATGAGCTCTGTCTCCTTCAGCGATAAACAGCTCCTGTATTGGTTGGAAATATCAGTGTCTCTATAAACAGCTGTGACCCCACGCAGGAAGTCAGGCATCCCACTTCCTGTGGCAAGCTGTGCCGCTGGCTCTCCTGGCCAAAGATGGCTTTCTAATTGGTGTCCTCTCACCTCTTTATACTGAGATGCTCCTGTTTGACAGTTCTTGGCAGCAGGATGAATGTCCTTGAAGAACAAAAAAGTTGAATCCCAAACCTGTAAAAGTAAAGCACTTTACCTTCAAGGTTTTTCAGAAGAGAAAAGGGATGAGAAACAATACCCAGTGCCTTCTTCGAAGAGGTGAACATTTGCTACAGAATCCTAAATGTGCAAGGAAAGTAAAAAATGTTGTACTGTCCTATTTGAATCTACAACTCAGTCTGTGCTTAATAATTTACTGATAAAAGGCCTCACACTGAATTCAGCTTCTTTCTGATAACTTTTAAGAAAGGGAAATACAGGTACTCTGCTACTAAGCTGAGCTACGCTATATATTCCTTATATTTTACTAAAATAATGTTCATCAATAATGCATGCTTTGCTAACAAGCAGTCTGTCAGAGCGGTGTTTTTTTGAAACAGGGAGGCAAAGTTCTCACTGATTTTTAGTTCAATATAAATTAATATTTTCACTTAACGTGTACACAATTTTTAAGTATAAAAACAAACAAATAATAATAAAAAAATCTTACATACTGTCATGTATGTTTACATTTACATTAGGGCTTAAGAATGCACTTTAGAACTGCGCGGTAAACTACTTCTGTTCAATAGTCACCTTTTTTTCTGACTCGATTGCTCTGTAAACACTACAGGTGTCATGCTGGCCTCAGACAAGGAGATGTACCTTTAATTTCACTAAAAACCGACTCGCTCACAGTCGCAGATCATTATATCTTCTGAGTAGGTTAGAACTCCCATCCATGATTTACGCATAACACTCAACACTCGCGAACTTGAGAAGCGGTTACCACACCTCAAGACATCGATCAGATCAGGGGTGATTCTAGGATTTTCATATAATAATAAAAAATAATAAATAAATAAAATAATGTTTGAATAATAGGTTAGGGTGGTATACTAAACCTATTGCAGTATTCCACTGTATTGCATAAGTTAGATGGTATAACATTTGAGTATTGAAAAAGCCAAATACAAGTCTTCCTGATCACAAACACACACACACAGGTTTGTTTTTATGGTTTATGGGGACTCTCCATAGGCGTAATGGTTTTTATACTGTGCAAACCTTATTTTCTATTGCCCTACACCAACCCTACCCCTAAACCTACCCCTTACAGGAAACTTTCTGCATTTTTAGATTTTCAAAAAAACTCATTCTGAATTATTTAAAAGCTTTTGAATTACGGGGACACTGAAAATGTCCTCATAAAGCACCTTCTCGTTATAATACCTATGTCATACCCATGTTATTATACAAATTTGTGTCCTCATAAACCACATAAACATACACACACACACACACACACACACACACACACCGGTTTACTATACAAACACGAAATTGTACTGTTTGCATTTCTAAACAAACCTCTTTCTATGCTCAAGTAGGTCACTGTCTTCAATCATTTCTGTGCATGACTGTATGGTAGTTAATGCCACATGCACTGTAATATGTTTTATATTGAAAGTCAAATTTTCAAATGAAATTAGCAACATGATCATTTTATAAAGTATGCGTTCATTCATATGTGTTAAGGGCTTCATTTTCGCTGGAGGAAACAGCTGTGGTGTGATGAGGTGTGAACAGAGCGAAAACTTTACAGTAGATGGGAAACCCTTCTCGTTGTAATACCTATGTCATACCCATGTTATTATACAAATTTGTGTCCTCATAAACCACATAAACATGCACACACACACACACACACACACACACACACACACACTGGTTTACTATACAAACACGAAATTGTACTGTTTGCATTTCTAAACAAACCTTTTTCTATGCTCAAGTAGGTCTGTCACTGTCTTCAATCATTTCTGTGCATGACTGTATGGTAGTTAATGCCACATGCACTGTAATATGTTTTATATTGAAAGTCAAATTTTCAAATGAAATTAGCAACATGATCATTTTATAAAGTATGCGTTCATTCATATGTGTTAAGGGCTTCATTTTCGCTGGAGGAAACAGCTGTGGTGTGATGAGGTGTGAACAGAGCGAAAACTTTACAGTAGATGGGAAACTGATTGCTCTCCCATGACATTTTGTAAATTTTATTTATGACAAAGAACTGCACAGATGCAGATATTATAACAATCTTTTGATAAACACACACCTTGTTCTCTGTTTCTCGCTCTGCGCTGCCACGGTCTGCGGATTCATTGACGAACACGCTGAAAGACGGGGAGGAGCCGATCGAAGTCTGCCACCATTTTCATATGAAAATGAAAGGGGACTGAGGCGATCACGAATTCGTTAACAGTTTATGGAGCTAATCGCAAATTTTTTAGGGGGGCTGAGTAGAAATTTTTGGGTGGCTAAAGCAAGAGCGAGATAGAGAGAGCGAGAGCGGGGGGGGGACATGTTTTCTGGTGGGGTTCCCCTGCTAGAATTCGCATTCCAGGGAATAAATATCATGTTATTGGAGTCACTTTAAACCACGGACATGAAAAACAACCCTCGGAAACCGTGTTAAAGTAGCTCAATTCCGCGGGAAAACCGCTGACTTGGCAACACTGGTCTTGGCCACTTGAGAGTGCGTGCGTGCGACAGGAAGTAAGTGCACAAGACTGTCCCAGGTCTTAAAAACGCCAGAGCGCAGTGCCCTTAACGCACACTAAATCCACACGATCTCGAATACCGCTCCGGAGCGGTGTTCAAGGCTTAGTGTATCCCATCATGCATCATGGGCCCTGTCCCAAATCGCACTCTAAACCCTCATGGTCTTCCCATGAGTCCGCACTTTGACGTAATGCTATGGCGTTATTTTAATGACAAATGTCGAGAGCGCATTATTGTAGCAGGAAAGCACATTGATATAATGAGCGAGCGCGAATCTCTCGCGAATCTCGGATTTCAGAAAAGATCAAAATACAAACATAAAAGAGATATAGTAAAACGAAGTTACTACAATAACCAGTTTAAAACAAAAATACAATAAAAAATCAAGGAAAGGCCCTGCACAAATCTGTTTTGAGCCTACTTTTTAAAAGGGCATAATGATAACTTTTGACCATTTAATTCAGGTGCGAAAATAATTAATATCTATAGCGCATGAGCACAGAGATTTGAGAGTGCACAGGACACCGTTTGAGTGAGAGGAGAGAAATGTTTTAAGCATGCGCACTCTCTCTGGGCGAGAGCAGTGTGTATCTGAGATATGCGTAGAAATCCGCTCGCGAACGGAGAGATTCGCGCTTGCGCATTATATTAATGTGCTTTTGCGTTACAATAATGCGCTCTGGACATTTGTCATTAAAATAACGCCATACAATGCTGCTTTGACTGTCGGGTAGAAGTCTGCTGCAGAGCTCGAACCAGTGCGGGCTTGGCAGAAGTGAGTATCGAGGGCGCATAGCGGCCGCAAAGGGGGCGCTCGCGAGCACCCTTCTGAACGCTAAAATGGCGAATGGGACACTCTACGGTCTCGTGGACTTAATGGACACGCGCACGCTGCGGCCATTGTAAGTCCGTAAGACCACAAGTGCACATGAATCCTGCATTCCATTCAGAAGGGCTCATCCCTATGCCCTAATCCCTTCAAATGTTTTACCCTCCGGAGTGAGGGGACAAAAGGTTTAGGGGACCAAACAACTGTTTCTTGAAGTGCCCTTCTGCGTCATCATCACGTGCCCACACGGAGGCACCGTCATCATGCAAAGAATCTGCGCAAAGGATCATGGGAGCCCAAAGTTTTCATCAGTTGTACCCTTCGAAATCCTTCATTCCGAAAGGCCCTTTGAAGTGGCCAGTTTTGAGCATTTCGGTTTGGAACGGCCCTTCAATATGGCGGCCATGATTGTTTTCACTTCGAAGTGCCTTTCGGAGGGCAATATATCCCATTTGGAATGCACCAGAAATGTTCCATTTGGGACAGGGCCATGTTCTGGAGATAAATCGTGAGACTTTTTGCAGAGATCTCGCGAATGGTCACGGAAACCTTTCCAATGTATGTTAAATATGAATGATAATTAGATATCACATATAATTTGGTACTAAAACAAAGGGTTGGGCATTTTATTGGTGCATATGAGTAGTGGTGATTTTTATTTTGCACAACATTTGCAACTGCTTTTTAACACTTAACTAGAAGCACCACAAAATGTAATTGTCATCTTTTATAGAAACACTGAACAGACAGTTGATTTTAAAATGCAAAGTATTGAAAATAAAAATAAAGCTCTGTAAACACTTGCATTTTTACAACACTATAAGTGTGTCCTATCAGGTAATGAAAAGTTATACACACACTTGTGGTCTTCATGCTCACTTGAACACTTGGACCAAATACAGGAAATATGTCATATAAGTAGTCAAGTGGTCAAGTGCAAAGACCGCAAGTGTGGGTATTTGGACAAGGCATCTGAGTCTGTGTGTCTCTCAAAAGTATTTGGCAGCAGCGTCCCTACTAATAGTGAAACTTTAAGTTATTTTTCTTCATGAACAGTGCCGTTGTTACCTCGCTTGTGAGAAATGTCATGTAGCTTTTAAGTTGCAAAACTATTTTACTGATAAAATCATCAGAGTAGCACTAACAATGTTAGCGCGAGTAGGCTATTAACTATGTTTCCATGTGTGCGTCTGTAAGGGAGAGAGAGCGGGAGATATAGAGTACGTGCTTTACATACATAATAAATTAATTTTGTGGCAAAACATGGAAATGTTCTGTCGTTTTTATCCTATTGCTTATTAATATATTTATGTGTTTGGGCGGTGTCATTGTGGGTTTTGGTTATTTTGCTGTTGTAAGACCTTTGAAATAACCACTGAACTATAATAGAGAACTTTATTTATATTTAGATCAGAGGAATAACTGAAATCATTCATTTGGCGAAGTGATATGGAACTGTAATGCGGTCAAGATATGCCTGGAACTAGACCTCTAGACTGGACTACTGTAATGCACTGCTAGGTGGTTGTCCTGCATCTTCAATAAACAAGCTACAGGTAGTCCAAAATGCAGCGGCTAGAGTCCTTACCAGGTCAAGAAAATATTATCATATTACCCCAATTTTACAGTCTCTGCACTGGCTACCTATTAAGTTCCGTATCAGTTATTAAGCCTTTAATTGATTTTTCCGTACATTTCTGTCATATGTACTGTACATTAACTGACATAGAGACCACTGATAAGCTACTACTAAATATATTGTAGAAACTTAATTTTCTGTAAAGCTGCTTTGCAACGATTTGTATCGTGAAAAGCGCTATACAAATAAACTTGAATTGAATTGAATTGAACATTTTGGCTGGTGTCATGGGCAGAGAAATGCTCCAAGGTACTGAAGTTGAGAGGAGGCTCTTGGGTATGAAGCCTTCAATAAACAAGCTACAGGTAGTCCAAAATGCAGCGGCTAGAGTCCTTACCAGGTCAAGAAAATATTATCATATTACCCCAATTTTACAGTCTCTGCATTGGCTACCTATTAAGTTCCGTATCAGTTATTAAGCCTTTAATTGATTTTTCCATACATTTCTGTCATATGTACTGTACATTAACTGACATAGAGACCACTGATAAGCTACTACTAAATATATTGTAGAAACTTAATTTTCTGTAAAGCTGCTTTGCAACGATTTGTATCGTGAAAAGCGCTATACAAATAAACTTGAATTGAATTGAATTGAACATTTTGGCTGGTGTCATGGGCAGAGAAATGCTCCAAGGTACTGAAGTTGAGAGGAGGCTCTTGGGTATGAAGCATTTACATGTCACAGGCATGCAAAAGCCTAGATAAATTATTCATTTGACCCAGGCAAAGGCTATTTTAAGAGGTCATCATATAGTTTCATAAGCAATGAGAGAGCTGACAGCAAGCAGGTCAAGTGTTGTCCTCAAATCCTTGTTTTTTTTTGAAAGGGTTAGCTTGGCAGCAGCTGTTCAAGCAAGCAGGGAAGTGACCTGCTCAGTAAACCATAAATAAGTCAGAAGAATATGCAGTGACTTTGTAGAAACGGGTGTTGTTTACATTTCACCTTGATTTGTGAGACTTCAGATATCACAACTTGTATGTGTACCACATAATTATTAATGATTTGAATTATCCCTGCGTCCGAAACCCATTTCCGCTGCATAAGAAAAACAATCATGCTTTGGTAAATCATTATTATGACATAAAAAGTCATAATTTCAACTTTAATCTTACAATTATGGCTCATAATTTTGACTTGTTTCTCATAATTATGACTTTTTATGTCATAATTTAGATTTTTTAAATCTCACTTTAACTTTTTATTTCATAATCATGACTTGTTATGTGATAAGTTTTATCCTATAATTACAACTTTTTAATCTCATAACTATACCAAAGCATTTTTTTCATATGTGGTGGAAATGGGCATCTATATAGGACTCTAGTATTTCTCTACTATACAGTGTGCGAAAACCAGTAGTCAAATGAATTGTATGTACCAATTACTTGTTCTCGAAGTAACTGAGTAAATTATTACATTATTTAGTATATTGCAATATTCAGGCATTACAATAACATAACATATAGAAATATAAGTATATAATATAAAAAAAAACATTGTGCTGCATTGTTCATATTATAATAAACAATATTCAGGTATTGCAATAACACACACACACACACACCCATATATATATATATATATATATAAAAATATATATATATATATATATACACACAGTGGTGTGAAAAAAGGTTTTTGCCCCCTTCCTGTTTTTTTTTTATTTTTTGCGTATTTGTCACACTTAAAAGATTCAGATCATCAAACAAATTTTAATATTACACAAAGATAATGCAAGTAAATA